TACATTTTGTAGAGAATTGTTTGCTCTACAAAATGCATCTATTTTAATTTGCTTCTATGTTTATTAAGCGTCGAAAGGACCCTGTCGGATTTGGTGCCCCCCTTGAATCAAGAGACCAAATATGCAGTTTTGTAGAACAGCTCGCGGCGCGTCGAATGGTATATAAGAAATCCCATTTTTATCTAAGCTTACAGGATCTAGGATCCATATACTGGTCGAGCGTCACGATAGCCATTGGTATTGATGTCGAACTTACTGCCACCCAGAGAAACCAAAACGATATATTCTCTCGATACACTCTTGTAGATCTCGCCTTTGGTTACAAGCGCCGATATCCAACCCCTCCAGTCGCCCCTTACTAGGGGAGAAAAATTCGACTTTTCATCAATTTCTACGGCTTTTCGACTTCGATGTCTTTCAGTATTATGAGCCGTGTGTCCCACAGGATAGGTGACCAAGCGCCAACGTTTGCCAGAAATTGCACCCAAGATAGAGCTACAAAATTCACTATTTGAAAGTTCTCCTGCTAGGGGGCGACATACCCAAAATGATCGCGCATTAAAATCTGAGATCCAATTTAAGGTCGTTTTTTCTTTTTCTTGTTCAGTTTTCATTATTTTACGTACTACTTGTTAACCAAAGTCTAAATATAAGATCTTATTCAAGTTCAGCGTAAAAAACTGAGTCGAATAGACGATACTAGAAATTTTCAGACGGTCTTATGGGTAGCTTTACTGGGTATATACTTGATTGCAAGGATGGTTCATACAGTCGACTCTATACTTTGGTCCTCCCAGTGCCAAGGCTCGCTTGTTTTGCTAATCTAAATACACAGTTTTGTAGAGCTCATCTGAGGCTACACAATGCACTATCTGAGTTTTAGTTTTGAGTGAGTAAAGATGGTAAATGCGGCTCTTTGGTTAGGAGTCGCCATGAACTTATGAATATCTTAGAAGCCCAATACGCATATCTCCTCTAAACATCATTTGATCAAAACTTCGACACAGAATATTTTTAGATGCTCCTTCTACTAGTATCTTCAAAATATCAAAATAATAAATTCAAGTATAGTAGGTTTTCTAGAGACCCCTTCAAAAACCAACGGATTTCAGAAATATAATTTCGCACTTTTTATCCATCAGGAATTGTAGCCCATCTGAATACCCAGCAAAGCTACCCATAAGACCGTCTGAAAATTTCTAGTATAGTCTACTCGACTCAGTTTTTTACGCCGAACTTGAATAAGATCTTATACTTAGAATTAAGTTTTCAGTGTCATCGAACGATATTTTGAGGAAATATGCATATTTAAAAAAACGGAAGTGCACATCACAAGATCCGTCAGTTTCCGGTCACCGGAAATTAACGAATCCGACTGGTTCCGGATCTCGGATCCGATCTCCGAATCCTTCAGGAACCAAATATCGGAACGCGAAGGAATTCGATCTCCGAATCCGGTCGAACATCCGATCTCAGGAAATCACCGGAATTAGAAGCATACGATCGGGCGACTTCGACCTGAGCACATGTATAGTTACAGAAAAAATCGATGTCAAGTTCAGGAAAATCAAAATCGTCTTGCACATCGAGTAAAGTAATCCACTTTCTTTCATCACAAAACATTAATATTTTGTTTGAACTTGAATAGTCACTAATAATTATCGATGCAGATTTTTTAAACGATACAAACGATATAAATGTAATATTTTTATATTTGAATTTAAATATTTTTGATAAAACCAATTTTAATTGTTTAACATCCATTAAACATTCAAATGAAATATTTAATTCACTTTAAGTGAATTAAGTGTCTAGTTAAGTAGTATCTAATAGATATTGAAGTTCTTCACAAATAATTCGCAATTGTCCATTGTAAATTCAGCTTGGTTAACACTTCGCCATTTAATATTTTAATTGATTTTAATATAAATCGCTGCATATCACCGATAAAAAAAAATTAAAGTTTGTTTAAAGTTAAAGAAAAGTACTTTTTCGTATTCAGTACACTTGATTACCTGGAAAATTTTCTATTTTTAGCGAGGGGTACCGCCAAGAAGTTAAGAAAAATTTTCAAACAAATTGACGCAGAAAAATCTCCATGGTAAAATTATACAATTTCGAAAATTTTTCTTAATTTTGTGGCGGTACCCCTCGCTAAAAATAGAAAATTTTCCAGGTTATCAAGTGTGCTGAATATGAAAAGGCACTTTTCTTTAACTCTAAACAAACTTTAATTTATTGTCGGTGATATGTTGTATTGTGTTATAGTCATTTTGAACATAATCCAATGTCAACCGTTCAGTATCTGGTTCACTATCAAATAGAATCAATCGATGGGAATGTGCTACCACTATATAAAATAAAATGTTTAATAAAATTCGTTTAACGCTTTTGCCTGCTCATTAGTTAGTTCATTTGTTCTAATTCTAAGTTCAATAAAATAAAATCGTTTGCTATGCAATAAACATCTTAAATGATTAAAAGGTGTAGCAGATGTTTGAGCAAATTCTTTAATTTCAACTACGAAAAAGAAAGAACATCTGTGCAATAAACACGTCAATAGATCCTTCTTTATTCTTATGCAAGACACAAAATTTAATCATAGGATCAATTTGTCCATAAAGAACACTGATAAACACAAGATAAGGCATATTTGCATTTTTAACAACCCGCCCCATTTCTGAAGCATCTTAGTTGCTGTCATCGAGATAGGAACAATAGTTTTTGGCTGAACTGTGTCTAGTCCGAAATATTTCCCGAATGGGAAGAGTTCATCTGTCCCAACCCGACAATATATCCCAATGAGGACAGAAAAAAGGCCGGACTATACGCAGTATTTTGTTTTTCACATCAGACATACTAAACTATAATCTAAATGTCCACGATATTATAGCTAATAAATCTAGATTGTGTATAGTAAGTACAGAGTGATCCATAAGACCCTCTCTGTACATTAACATTATCTATATGAAACACATATAATAAGATTCAGCTGTTTTTTCAAAGCTGTTGTTAAAATTACCTTATGTATAGGCATACACCGGTTAAAACTGATATTTTTAGTATATTAAATTTTAAATATTATTTATAATATTTTTAAATATTAAATATTTCTCACAACTGAGTTTTGTAGAGCAAACATTTCTCTATACAATGAGTTATGGGGAATCTTTCCATCTTTTCTCTTTTCCTTGCAATGGTCGTTCTACAACGAGCCCCATTTATCGGTTTCGGTTACATAATCCAAACCGGTAAATGGGGCTCTTATTAAATATTCTTTTTTATGTGCTGAATCGAGATGAAGATTGTACTTACAGCTCATTTTGTAGAGAAATGTTTGCTTTAGAAAACACAGTTGTGACAAAAATTTAATAAGCCATATTCTTTATACAATCTATTTTCGAAAACAGTTAAAAATATCAGTTTTCAACCGGTCCATGTCTACTTATGTATCGCAAAATTTTTACCAGTAATAAAACACAATTATTCACTAAATGTCGTTCACATTCAATTGAATTCAACTATTAATCAATATCTGTTGATTTCTATCTGGCGGACATAATTACTAAAGATTCGAGGGTGAGGGTGACATTATCATGCACTAGACATTATCGTTTACTAGTTCGAGAATCATTAGCAATTATGGATATACAGATAGATTAGAGGTGTTTGTTGTTCTATTCAATGGTTAAACGAACGAACAAATATAACACTTTTTCTCTTTACATCTTTTTTACAAAATTGTAATTTTAGTTAAAAAGAATTTTCTGTCTTGATACATTCTATGAATGTTGCATTTAAAAGTTTGATTTTTCACTAGCCATCTCGAAAATATTGTTTATCGCACATTTTGATCCCTAGTGCCAATCCTAGGATCACATTGAAATCCAAGACAAACGGGTATTTCCTCTAATCAAATTTCATTGACTAGTATATACCAAGAAAGAAATTTTAAGTTATTCGAAGAAAGTCGCGTTGCATACATACTAGTCGTAATAGCAGAATAAAAGAGATGAATGACTTGTCGACAAAACGGTCTATATACGGTATGTCAGTTGCTCTTTTGTTTCACATTGATAGGTTGTATATAAATGTCACAATATGAATGAGTCTAAACTTAGAAAATAAATTTAGAGATTTCTCCTTGGCTGAACAAACTTGGTAGCCATGCAGTGCACTAATGCAATGTACAAAAGTAGAATATGACTGCAGAATCCGTACAAAATACAAAATAAAGATAAATGGATGAAATATTTGACTGAAGCTTTTCAAATAAGTTTACTTGCAGTGGGTCAGCCAAGCACTTGTACAAGTACTTGATTTCAAGCACATCCACTATGGTGATTCTCTAGAAAATCTCCTACACAAAAAGTTTCTAGCGAAATGTAAAAGAAATGAATTCTGCAGAAGTACGTTTCAACATAGAGTGCAGCTAAAGGAAATACATTGAGAAAACACTTTCGACTCTCTGTTCAGTAGTATAACCAGAGGTGGCGGAGCCTCTTGAAACCTAGTGTGATTTAACATTTTTTCTCACTCGAAGGTAGTAATATCAAGAAAAATCCTCATCCTAGTAGTATGGAATGATTGTTCGCAGACTTAAGAAGATAAAAACCTCTAGGGTTATGACGTTGACTTATGAACCTTCAGTAGAGAAAAAGCTATTTTTCTCAAAACTTAGTGAGGCCTAAGCCTATCGAGAAACATTTCTAGCGATTTCAGAACATACGATTTAAAAAGCCTAAAAACGCTAAAATTCACCACTTATGACTGAATAAAAAATATCTCAGTGCAATAATAACTGCGACACTACGGATGGACTTATATGTTCTCATTTATTTACAGTTATATTTATTATGAAAAAAAGTTTGACAAAAAAAACTGTTTCCAAACAAAATAGAAAAAGAAACTTGCCGCGTAGCAAAATTATCAGCACCGTGTACAATTTGGCAAATATGGACGGGTAAATTATTCGCAAATGAGATTAACCACAATGACTTTCAAGTTGGCATTAGTTTTTGTGGTATTAAATGTTGAATATGTGTATTTGTCGACGAACCACCAGGCTGTTTTGCATGTGCAGTTTTAACAAGATTTCTCGTTAAATTTTGATGTGAATTATAATTAACACGTGTCGATTTCGATGTTGTATGTTGCTGTAGTGGTGATGTCGGGTGATATTTCATTAGTGGTGATTGACCATCAACCAACGATGTGCCCGTCGATTTGCTCGATTTACTACTACATGAACTAACACGGGAATGTAATGCAGAATTTTTCAAAAATAATCCAATATGTTTTACTGTTAACGACTGAGCTAAAAATTAGATAGAAAAAAAGAGACTATTAATTTATTCGATATCAGAGAGGACAAACGGATTTAAAAAATAATGTTACTATCTTAGAATGATTAAGTTTACAGAATGAATTTTATATCAGTTCAAGTGATAAAGTGGTCGAACAGCCCAATATCTCATGTATACGAATAAACTTGCAGAAAAAATGTTCGATTACAACTGATTTGTATTTTATATTCTCGACAAATTATAACTAAAAAGGATCCGGTCAGAAACACTTTAACAAGTCTCTATTCTTCCTTACTTCAATAAGTTTAGAGTTTTACCGCTAATGTAGTAAAGAAACACTGAGCAAGTATGCTTGTAGTTGTCAGTCGTACTTTTTGATCACAAGAGCAAAAATACTCGAAACAGGTCATTCTTGCCCGATCGCAACCGGTCGATTCCTTTTATGTTCGGGCGCGTTTCTTGCAACCGGATTTCGGCTGATAATTCCTGCCGCCGGTTCCATTCTGTTTCCGACCGGTTTCAGTCGAAAAAGTCGTCGGAATTTTCCAAGCCGGAAACTCGACGGAATCCGGTGGTAGGAACACGCCGGAACATAAAGGAAACGACCGGAACGACGATGGAATACAACGAAACCGGTCGCTTCCGCAACGATTCCGGCGGTCGGTACGATGGACCTGGGATATGTAAAATAATAAATTCAAATAAAGGGTATCATTAATTGAAATATTTTAGAGACGAATATGTAATTTTTTTCTCTGGAATGCTAGAGTTTTGGGCATTATGTTTAACTATGATCATTGATAACTGAGAAATGAGTTAGAGACATTTTTTGTCTGTCACTTGCTATATGTGAATGTGACTTTCTCATATAACACACTGGTTCGTTATTCTTTATTCTGAACATTCTTGCTAATAACAAAAAGTATTTTATTTTATTTTTAGATTTCTTTGAACGTATTAAATTAATCTGTTATTCATATTCATTTATCTGGAAGACATTCACTGTTAGAAACAATTTTCATATTTTGACACTTTTTTTCTTCTTCTCTATTTACATACTTGAAAGGTGATTACTTTCTTATTCTTAAAAAATGTTACGAATTTAAAAATAATAAATAGCAAATAATTCTTTTTTGGATGCAAAGTGAATGAAATGATAATACTGTTGACAAAGAAAAAATTCAATATTTTAATGTATTCTATATTTTAACTTGAAACCATATGTTTACTTATAAAGTAATACAAGATCAAGATTATTACGAACATCTTTATCCACTCACATAAGAGGTATAACCTTAACTGATGTTTATTTGTATACTTTAAAAAAAAAATGTTAGGTTCATAAATATATAAGCTAGTCTCTTAAATCAACCTCTTCATTAAAGAATCTAAGAAAATATATTAATCATATCGCTGAATCGTCTGAGATTGACACATATATTTTAAGAATCAATTTTAAAGAGCATTATTAATTTGGCTAAAGGTTTAGAATACAGTCAGATATGTAATTTGGGACATGTTAACATAAGCGTACATTGATCTACAACGACCTACCGTTGGTTACCTTCATTTATCTTCTAAAAACATCATAAGTTTAGATCAGAAAGAGTTTCTATTATTAACATGACTTCAACTTACCAGGATTATATCTAACAGGTGATAGTTGTTTTTTAATATCAATATTTGATGTTCTAGTAAGAGTTTTTGGTGTTCGAACTTCGGACGATGGAATATGAAATTCATTTTGATTTGCATGATCTAATGTACTATTAGGTAGACTACGAGGCTTTGTTTGTTGATTGAGTAATACTAATCGTCCGTTCTGTTGTTGCTGACTTTGAGGTTGAGGTGTTATAGATGGTGGATGATAATCTTGTGATTGTTGACGTTGTTTAAAAGATAAACCAACATCTCGTCTTAATGGTAACAAATTATTTTTGGGATAACTGTCAGTTGTTGATGTACGCTTAGAAGGTATCATAGATGATTTATCACCGAGATAAGGAGAAGGACTGAAGTCTTGATCACCATCATTGTTATTATCATGCGATAGACGATCACGTGACGAATTTTTACGTAAGACAATGTCATGATAAAGTTTTCTATTCGTTAAACGATTTGGTGATATAACATCAGTACGAAACAGCTCATTGACAGCATCTTGTGTTAAATTTGGTGTATTTGTAGCACGACCACGCAATAACACATTGTCTTCAAATGCATAACTTGATTTTTCACGTGTTAATCTCATTTGTTGTTGAGTAATACTTCGTCGTCTTGGCAATAGCGGTTCACCACGACCGAGTTTAGTTGTAACAATATCTGAACAACCTTCAGTAGTTGATACCGTTGTTGTTGCAATATTATCATGATATGTCTGATCAGGCCATCCTAAGCCTTCTTTTAAACGACGTGCAATAAGTGTGTAGAGTGCACGTGCAGCAACAGGTTTACGATGTAATACGGCTTCTTCAATTTCATGTTCAGTATACCCATGTCTAGAATGATAATGAACACGATATTAGTAAGAAAAGAAAAAAATTTGTATAACTTACTTTGTGATGAGATATTTGATAATACTTTGATTAATTTCTCTCAAATCAGTACTTGGTTTATAGGGAATAATTTCAATGGGACTCATTTGATAATTCATAAATGGATGACGCAATATTTCTTGCATTGATATTCGTTTTGTTGGAGACGGTTCTAGTAGTCGAGTCAGTAAATCTTGACAATCTATCATGGAAATAACAATATTGAAATTTAATATATTCAAATATCCATCTGATTCAGTTACCTTTTGACAATGTATTGGGTATTTCACATCCTTTCAATATACATGCGTGTAATTTAGCTAAATTTCTACTTCTATGTTCAACTTTAAACGGCAATTTACCAACTAACATAGCATACATATTCACACCTCTAGAACAATATCATAGATGTATATTGTCATCGGAAAATAATATTATAGAAATACGTACATGCTCCATACATCAACAGCTGGTCCATATTCTTGATGAGCAAATATTTCAGGTGCTGCATACGCTGGTGATCCACATTGAGTAGTCAAAAAACCTTTTTCATCTAGACTATTACTCAGACCAAAATCTAAAATTGAATATGATAAATGAAATGAAGAAATAAATACGATATCAACTAAAAACAATTTATGTACCAATAATAACAATATCATTATTTTGATCTAACATAAAATTTTGTAATTTAATATCTCTATGTATGACGTGTGCTCGATGCATATGATCAACAGCCGACACGATTTGTCGAATATATCGTCGTGTTTCATTTTCATCTAATTGGCGTCTATATAAATAAAACAAAATAATTTTTTTCTATAAGATAAAAGTTGTTTTACCCACTTTTTTGTTAAATATTTAACAAATTCTTGTCCTTGCACAAGATCCATGACAATATAATATGAATTTTCTGTTTCCATTACTTCGTGTAATTGAACAATATTTGAATGTTGCATACGTTGCATCATTGATGCTTCACGTCTCAGATTTGCTCGTAAATAATTACGTTTAAACACTTCACGCTTATTAATTACTTTCACAGCAACCTAAATATATAGAAAAATCGCTATCTTATAAAAAATAAATCTCTTTCTACCGCCGAACTGTGACGCGAAATTTAATCGACATAGAAATTCTTCCGAGAAATAATCGTTGTTTCTTTTCTCCGTTAGTATTCAATAAGTTAGATGAAGATTTCATTTAATCTATAAATTGCTTTCGTTTGAAAGTTAGATAAGAAAGATGTCTTTCTTCCACTTCATTTTTTCCATTTCACCCGAAAACGTGATTTCGCCATTTTTTTTCCTGTCTTTATACCTTCTGGACAGATGAACATTCGGACCTCACTCGATTATCTCATTCTGAATCGGAAAGTATGTTTAACAAGATGAGACATGTCATAACTCTCTATGGTTCTTGTTTCAACATATTTTGAGACATTATTTTTTAAAAAATATTCTTTTATTTTTAAAGAACAGATACCTTCGTTCTGTTGATATACATCCATGACTGAAAATTCTAGAGCGCTTTGATAAGTGTCATCTTGTTAAGCACACTTTTCAACTGAAAATGAGATAATCGTAAGGTTCGAATGTTCATTTGATGTTCACAAGATACAAAGACAAGAAAATAGTGAAAGAAGTATCGGAACGAGTTACGTGGAATGATCGATTTACTGTTTTCGAAACTGTCGATTTTACATTAATACACATATCAACGTGAAGAAAAAAATAAAGTTCATTTAGAGAATACGAAAAGTGCTTTTCGTATTCCTCACACTCAATAATCCAGAAGATTTTCTATTTTTGGTGAGATGTGTTGCCGAAAGTTTAAGAAAAATTTCAAAGCTAATATTATTTTCCCATGGAAATTTTCTTTCGCCATTTTGTTTCAAAATGTTTCTTAAACTTTTGGCAATACATCTCATCAAAAATAGAAAATCTTCTGGATTATTGAGTATGCTGAATACGAAAAAGCACTTTTTTGCAACTCTAAATGAACTTTATTATTCTGTCAGTGATATGAACATCTACGCCTGTTGAAACTTTGCAGATCTAAAATCAACTCCTCCGTTTTGGATTAGGAAATTAAATTTCTGTTTCTTTAACAATGCAACCGCATTTGAGAAGCGAGATAAGAACAAGTGCTGCTAAAATTATTTGAAATCTCTTTCATATGTACTTTAACTTCCGTTCTTTCTTAGGTACTTCGGAATTCAAAGAATGGAGTTCTATAAAAGAATTAAGAAAATTTAAGTATTAATACTCATGTCAAGGGAGTAAGTAGTATTAGAATTCTGGTCACATGTGAAATATGAAATGGCCATGCTGTAATCGAAAGATGTCATGTTTTTTTTGCATATTTAACATTCGCTTTATTTTTACGTAATTAATTAAAAAAATGATATTGTATGTATTGTTTTGACGGAGTATAAATGATGCACATTGAAGATCATATGAATCCAAATTATCTAGAGACATATTCAGCAATCGGATCTTCCCGCAGAATTTTTCTTTATTCATCATGTTGAACAAATGTTTCTACACGTATAGTTGATGTTGCATGAGAAGCAAAAGTTAAAAAAGTACAAACTGAGAGATATAAATTGTATCAAAACATAATTAATTGTTTCCTTAAGATCTTCTTTTAATTTATTATGTGAACTGGAATGTTCAATCTTTTATAAATTATTTGTAGTAGGTGGCAAAAAAAAGTATAATACTATTATTATTATTCTTTCTCTCTCTCTCTCACAAGATTTTATACTTTCAAAAGCAAAAGAACATGAGAAGGAAAATAACACTAAAATTTACTTTTTTCGATATTTTTATATAAATACAAACAAAAAGGTATACTATGTACAAAATAATAATAGAAATATATTTCAACAAATAGTACATACATACCTATAGAACGGTTTAATTTAAAAGCAAACTATTGATTTAAAGGACTTCTCAAAATATTATAGAAAAAAGAAAAAAAAAAAAATGTAATCAGAGACGTTTTGTCTATATGAAGAATATGATATGACTTTTTTTTATTTAAAAGAATAAAAGTTACACTCATATGTAGACGTGACAAGGTTTATATGTTCAGTTAGCATTATATTTCAGAATGAACCAAAAAGAAGTAGTTAATATTGTTTAGACAATTCTTATAACTTATTTAATATAATTAAAAATAATTAAAAATTCATACTTGAAGATTCAAACAATAGTATAAAATTCTCACTTTTACTATTTTTTTTACAATGTTTGTATAATGTCGAAAAAATAAACAATAAATTCTCTGTTACTGTTTAAACAACCATGTTAAATAATATTCTATTTTCTCGTCTATGGAATGCAATCTTCAGACTACACTCTAATATTTGCTCAAATTATTATAGTGATAACAACTTTATTACTTCTTTGTCCAAAAAGAAGATTGCCAATATGTTCATTTACTCTTACAATAAATATGTCTTCACTATACCACTTGAACATTGTTCATAAATTTTATAATTTTTTTTTTGTTTTTAAATATTTGTGACATCTTCAGAGAATTAAAGTTTATGAAAATGAATGATTTATTTTTATCTTTGAACAATATCAATAACATCAACAAAACAATTATTTCTCTTGTATTTCTCTCTATAGTATCAGTTGTGAACAATTTTTTCTTCCAAAATAAATTTCAACTTATCATTCAAATATTTTGTTTACTCATCATTATAACATACAGATTAAAAACAAAGTAACAAATGTACAATTTAACCGTAAGTTATTTATTTTAATCAATACAAAAAAGAAAGTAAAAGAATGAACAATGTTATACAAGGAAATATGTTCACAAATGGTGCTAAAAGTTATTCTACCATATTATTTGTTAGATATGGATCATCCACTATAATTTTATCGCCTTATATTACACATTCGTCTTCTATATCTTATACTTGTTAAATTAGACTATCAAAGTGTAAAAAAAATAATTGAAATTAGTTGAAATGAGAGAGAGAGAGAGAGAAAAAAAAGGATATGCTCTTTTTTCATTTAACATTGAATTACTTGAACACAATTTTTGTTTTCAAAGGTCAAAATAAAAAATATGTACCGAGTACTATAGTATAAGAAATTTGAACAAGTTATTATGTGTATTAGAAAGAGAGTATATGTAATGTAACACGAGAATATAATTCATGGATACATCAATGACATTAGAAACGCGTCATTGAAGATTATAATAAAGACTATTTGCTTAGATCTAGGTCAATATTTATTATAAATAAAACGGTCCGCGACTAATACTTAGGAAATAATGTTTCTAATAGTTAGTTGATCTTTATATTGATTAAAAAATAAATTTTCTCTATATATTTATCTTATGATATTAATGATGAAACATTTAAAAAAAAAAATAAAACATAGAAAATATTCTTACCTTCATATCAGTGACAAGATGAATACCCAATCTAACTTTGGCAAATGAACCTTCTCCAATTGTTTTTAAAATAACATAATTTCCAACTTTTTTTCGTTTTTCATCTAAATTGTCGACACTATTTCTATCACTAGTATTTGCTGTTGTATCTTGAACCATTTTAAAATATAATTATTCGATGTTTTAACTATACAATTTTTTTTTTTTTACAATATGATTATCGAAGCTATATAATAAACATTTTTCTCTTCTAGTGATAATAAAAATAATACTAATAACTGTAAATCATCGTAGTAAAATTAATAAAAATGATGAATGAGAAGAAGAAAAAATAGATAGGAGAAAACACAATTAATAAGTATTAGAATAGAAACATCAATGACAATAATAGCCTTTGAATAATTCACAAATAATGTTATGGTCATTCCAGGGGGTGATAAAAACTGATCAATTTTTTCTCCTTTCTGAAAAAGTAAATAAACAAGTATAGATTTATAATTGTACATGTAAAATGAAATTTTAATTTATAGGTTAAAGCAAATAGTAGAAATAACGTGACTATACGAGTATCAGACATTTGGGCGCACGACATTTGGACGCAGCGACGTTCGGACGCAATGGTATTTGGGCACATGTACGACAAAAGCATTCAGTAAGAGTGCATTTGTTAAAATATGATGCATAACGATAAAATTTTCTTTAAACGAATTTGGTACGGTGTGAGAGCTTTTTTCTATATTACTCATATCCAATTGTAATCACTGTTTGTTTAATCTTCATCAATTCTCGCCCTCACCGGCGCTTTTGAACATCAACTGTCGTTCGCGCCCAAATATCGGTATACTTGACTATACGATTGTGTGTATGTGTGTAAATGTATCTTCGTATAATACTTATCATTTATGAACAATTCCATACAGTTGAACACATTCATTGATATCGCTTGACATCCGCAACGAAATGACAATAGGATTAGACATAAGAGAAACGTCTAGAATAGAAAAAAAAAAGACAAACTAAAAATCATATATATTTTGTGAAAAAGATTAGAAGAACTAACAACTATCATGGAACACCTAAAAAATCTAAAAGCATAAATAAAATGTATTTGACAGATGTAATTAATCTGTTTTAAGTCAACATTCAATATCATATACTTTGAAAAAAAAGATTACCTCTTGAGTACTACTATACATATTGTATAAACGAGTAAAATTCTTCAAGTTATAAGCGGTAAGTTTTACTAGATTAAAAATTTTTTTTATGGTATATAAAACTACTTCTCAGAAGAATAAAAAATCTATAAGATATTCGCCTATAAATCTTCACAGATTTTATCCATCCTAGATCGATGAATTAGTTATACAACACTTTAATAAGCACACACTTGAGTTAATAACACTTGGATAAATCAGACGCCTTTTCTACTAATAATGGCAATGTTATTTTTCTATCTAACTAAGGTGTTTTCGGCGAAATAGACTATGTATAAATTTTCCATAATGTATTACTTTGTATGCTTATATTTTAATTAGAATCCAATTGTTGTTGATGTTCATTTTTCCTTCTTCTTCTGTTTTCGATTTTATGTGTGTGGGTATGCGCGTGTTTTTTGAAATGCACGACGTAGAGACATTCAGTTTCTTTTTTCTTTTTTTTTTTAAAAAAAGAAAATAATTTTGTCATTTTTATTTTTATTATTTTAAAAATCATCCACATTAAAACTGACTTTTAATACGAAAAAAAAGTCAACAGAAAACAAAAAATCCTGAAACAGAAATAAAAATAGAGAGAAAAGCTGAATTATATGTGCATATGTATTTATTTTCACTACTTGCTAATTTTTTTCTATACGATGATAGAGAAAAAGTATGTATAAAGAAGAAAAATTGTCAATTGTCAGTGTATAGTTGTTGTATACTTCTGTGGGTGGATAATGGGAGAAAAAAGTGAAAAAGCGGATGATGTTGTGTTGTTCGGTTTGATTGTTGAAAAAGAAAAGAAAAAGAGAAGAACTTGAACCTCCAAAAAAAAAGTCGTAATAAAATAGTATTCTATTCATCGTCTGCTTATAAAGAAACATCAAAAAAGGTGGTAGAAAAAGAAGAATGAACGAAATCTCTAAACGTATGTTTATGCTCTTTTTACTTTTCTCCCTTTTTTTCTTCATTCATGTGAGAAATTGATTGAACATACGTATTTAATGGTTAAGATTTAAAGATACTCCTTTTCTATTCTCTGTTCTTGGAACCGTATCCTTTGTTTGAATAATAAACGAGTGGTTAGGCGAGAAAAGATAAAACATAGGTAACAAGAATACTATGTAAACAAAGAAGGAACTCACGCAAAACATGGGAATGCGTGCTGAGACTCAAAATAACCACGAATATTTTAGAAACATCAGAAGTTCTCATTTTAAACAACGTAAGCTAAGTGCAACACGTTCCACACGATCTGGGTCTTCTCTTATGAAATCTTTCTTATAAATCCTATAGCGTGATCCAACAGGATCTTGTCAATAGATCGTGTAAGATAATATCAAATCTTATGAGATCTTGTCAAATTTTGTAAGATCTCTTGAAAAAGTTACAAGATCATGTGAAACCTTTTGAAACTCTATATGAATTGCATTTTTGTCGACGCTTTTTTCAGTATACTTTTCGTGAACGTTTTCCACTGGGCGCTTTCTTTTTACCGTGCCGATACGATGAACCTTTCGATTTCACTCATACATTATACCGTAATCTTCAAAATATCGGTTTCCAACAAGAGTATGTTGATGATGAAGATGGTCGAAAATATTCTAAGTTAGATTATTTTTGAAATTAAAATAAAAGATTACCAGCAACTAAGAATTCATATCAAACAGTGGTGACAGAAACGGTTCAAACGTTTTAAAATATTTTCAAGAATGAGTGGTGAGTGTAATTGAAAACGCACCCAAAATCATTTCAAAATCACAGGTCTATATCGTTTCTTCAATTAAAAGTTATTCAAAAAATGATCGAGTTGCGTTTTTTTGAAAAGAATAAAAGAGTAGTATTCAAAGAATACAATTCTGGGTGAAGATCCTTGCAAATTCATATAGAGTTTCAAAAGGTTTCACATGATCTTGTAACTTTTTCAAGAGATCTTACAAAATTTGACAAGATCTCATAAGATTTGATATTATCTTACACGATCTATTGACAAGATCTTGTTAGACTATGTTACCATCTTATCTAGCAAATCAGATGTGCTAGACTTCAACTATCTGGTCCTTGTCGGAAAAATCAAAAATTTCAGAGGCATTTTTAATGTTAAACACATTTTAGCAAACGATAGTTTCACGAAGTAAATTCTACCGAAAGTTTTAGATCATCTAAATATGTTGCACGCTCAATTGTACTTACCGTGAAACAATAATTTGAAAAAAAATCTTCACTTTTTTAGACACGATTCTCGAACTTATTTTAGCAGCTGACCTATGTATTTTTATTAGTGATACAAATGTGAACATCATTCGTATTAAATAACTTTCTAATCTACTTCGTTTTTTTTTCCATAGTTAAGTTGTTATACCTTCTGGTAACACAACAATTGTGGTGAAATCAAACAAAAATAAATCATAGAAGATTAATTTCATAATCGCGTTGTCAAGTTTTTCAACATCCTCTGTTTGTTTTTTTTAGGCTGTTTTTTTTTGTATTAGTCGCCAAGTGAAAAAAAAAATCTCTTTTTAAAAGTCAAAACATTAGAAAAAAAAGAAAGATAATTTTGTTTTCTTGTTGATGTACTTCTTTTTAATTCTTATTTATATCATCACACTTTTTAAGATAGCCTGTAGAAAAATGAAAGAATTTAACTCGAATTTTATTTTTTTTCTATTTTATTAACACTTACAATTCCACGCTGTATATACTCTTCCGGTCAAATGATTAATAACAAATGCACATATGCTTATTATCATTTAATAACGGTTACTTGTTATTTGGTGGTTAGTTACATATATAAATAATCTAGTTCACATACTACTATATATATACATATTTGTTAACATTAATCTCTCTCCCTCAATCAAACTACTAGTAAATTTACTTTCGTTGAACGATAATCATCGTGTGTACGCCCCATTAAAATGAGGCTCTAAGTATGTTGATAGATTGATCAAATTGCAAGAGCGGTAGGCAGATAGGTTTTGATGTTGATGAACATAAAAGAAGAGAACAGAGAGCAATTTGTCAATGTAAATAAAAAAAAATAAGAAAAAAAGAAACAAAATAATGAATGACAAATAAATCTGATCTGTGAAATAATCAAATAATTAATTGTAACAATAACAACATACATATACTTTTTTCGTTATATTTATCTATACTAAATTATTGAGTGTCAAATATATATGACGCTTCACACAAAAGTAACATTGAAAAAAAATAATTTATTCATCTCATAAAACTTTCAAAAATAGTATATTTAAGCAAGTTGATTCATCTCGGAGAATGTAGAAAGGCAACTTTTAAATCAATTTTGATGCTGAGTTATGTCATATGTCAACAAAGTGAAAATAAAGTACATCAACAAGCAACTCAACCAGATTTTCAATGGGTGGAAAAACTTAGCTACGGTATAGCCTGAGTACGCTGTGGTCTCGAAAAAATAAGATTTCCTAGCTCTTAGCACACTTGCATACTGTACCCTATCGTCGAGTACTCGACACTTTTCGAGGAGATCGAAAGTGTTTTTTCGCTCTTCTAGAAGTGTCATTTTCCAAGGAGTAATCAATCAATTTTTTTTGTGTTCATCGGAAGAGAAACTTACTAATTTTTTTTTTCTAGAATTCTGTTTTAGTAGACTTTAAGTATTATCTACATCCGCGACCTTCTATGCTTTTGTTCCACTCATCGCATCTTATTTGAACATTTAAATAAATCAGCTTACTAAATTTAATCCCATCAGACAAGAAAATACCCATTAGGGTCTAAAGATCTAATAGTTGAAGAACAAGTATGCCCTTCTTGCACTCTAACTTCTGAATAGTATTGTCGCTTCCTGAATTGACACTATAAAGTAACCCATCACATGGGTAGTTAATCAAAAAATTAAAAGTAAAAATTTTTTAGAAATCCGATACGAATATTAGTTACCGATATCTGCGTCATCTTATCCCTTAAACGTTT